TTTTGTGACACCGCTACCGTTCCCCTGACGTTTGATACCCGAGATTTTCCATCATGACCCTCACAAAATGCAAAGCAATGATCTTCACGATATTTTGGCTGTTAAGGGATGTGAGAAGGGCCGGATTAGCAACAGCGCTCTAGGATGCTTACACCGATTTATATAAGTAAGCACATTCGTCACAGACTGAGATGATAGATCTTACCTTTTTCAAGCCTTGGGAAGCATGACTATCCGTGTAAAGGTTCATCAGCAGCTTGTGCCGACTACTGGAGGAGAGCTGTAGTGAAAGAATGACAGCTCAAAAACAAGTGAATAGCCCTCATAACTCGGCAAATTCATACCTGGGTTTTCCATAAAACAAGCACCGTTATGACCTCCAGATCTTTGAGTATACGTCGTCCCATTACACTCCTGAAACCAGCATAGCTAAAAATAATGATCACTCAATCACAACACTCATCACAATTTGAACAAATCGACAACTTCCAAGCTTATTTTGCACATTTTTTCCCAAGAATCAAGTGGTTAGGTTCTTTCACATGAATATTAAGGTTTTGGGGCCGGCTGTAATGAAACAAGGGAAAAAATCTGCCGAAAACGCTTAGAGTAAGGGCTTCTCACCTCGTAATGCGGCTGTACTGAGGCAAGAGTGAGCGCGGAGAGGAGAGCATGAGGCGAGAGAGCGCAACAGATGAGGAGCCAGACAACAGCCTGCTGCGGACGGGAACATGCAGCTGCTGCAGCTAACTTTGCAAGGCCCTAGCGCCCTTGTCGGTGATTTCCGTGCACGGGAATGCCACATCTGTGATTGTCCTCTAGGGGTCTACCTTACAGATCGCAGGGAATCATTCATAGAACTTCTGCCTAGATTGGGCCTTCAAAGTCCAAGCACTGCAAAGTGTACTGAGGTTAACTTGTGGGCTGCATGTAGCGAAGGGTTAAGACTACAACACGCTCGCGTTGGCGACTGAAAGTGTTTAGTAATGACGCTTAGTATGGTGCGGCGGTGTGATAGCAGGAGGTGGCAATTGTAGTTAGTTTCACCAAACTGTTCACGGATTTCGCTTTAGCACAGAACTTCAACAGTAAACTTCATATCCTTTGAGCTAACGAAAAATCGTCACACTTCAAGTCAAATTGCACTGTATCAGGCAAGTTTTAGTGCAGTTTACTGCTGAATCTATGAGGTTTCCCAAAAATGTAGCATCTAGGAGTTTCTCACATTATTAATAACTGTGGACTACTGGTTTTGTGCTTGCTTGAATTATAATATCAGCTGCAATATCAGCAATGGAAGGAAGAAGGTAGAAGGAGATGATGTTGTTTCTACCAAAATCAGCTAAAAGCTAACCAGGAAAAAAGTTCGGAAGCGGATTTCAAGACAAAGAGGTAGCCCATCAGTGATGAAGGTAGAAGTGGTCAGTGGTACAGGGCTGGAGAGAAAACCATGCATGGGGAACCGTCCAGAACCCGAGAAATGGACTCTGACCCCTGCCGCTTAACTTCTGCATTTGTGCGACTCTCATCAATGCTGCTTTGCAATGGTCGATCCCTCTCTATGCTTAACGGCTCGAATCAGACGGTGAGAGAGTGGGCGGACAGCGGCGCGAGCCGCGCGTCTATGGCCTTGCTAGGCCGCTGTGGTATACACTTTGCTGCGAAGTGCGCATTGTCCCGCACCCTTAGGGGATCCCCCTGCCTTTGGACTGGATATCCTACCCCTTCTTCGACCTTATCATGGGATTCTCTTTCAAACTCCAATTTTCTTCTGATTGGATTTCAGCTGATATTCCTTGACAGGTAACATTACTCGTTGAAGCCCACTGCTGTACAGCAGAGCCGAGGCGGCGGCTTCAAGCCGCCTCTGGCTCTAATCATGATTCTCGAGACGTATTTTGGTTTATACGAATCACTAGCGTGCCCCTTAGACCCATTAAGAATAAGACCTTAGTTCTAATTTCCGTTTGAGATGAAGTGGTTTGATGGCAAGAGGAGCTACCACGTACACGGTCCAGTGATCACTTTAGGGGTGGACCCTGAGATCAAAAAGCGATGGTTCACATACAGAACACTTGAAGAAAATTGCCTTTGAATCTGAGTTTAAAAGTTGAAAGAGCTTAGATGAGACAAAAGCACAATTAAAATGTAACTAACTTGGACCTATTTTTCATTACTGCCATCCAGATTTCATCGATATCGGCTAATAAATGTCCCCATTGAGATAAGCGAAAGTGGACTGTTGCTAGACAATAAAGTGCTTGAGTATGAGCGATAAAATCACCTTCTAGAAGTCGAACAGCTAAAGCAACATAATTAAGAAACTGGCTACTGAAATCGCTAAAACACTTCAATAAAAACCTCGTTGAGCATGCTCCGCCGCCATTTCGTACTGCATAGAGTTGATAAGAACTTTTGCGGCCTCCAACGACGTGAAACCTAAACGGCAAGTTTTATTGCAATACAATTTTGCCAAGAGTGTCGAAAACGTCTTATGCCGATCATGTTTAAGAATAAACACAAGAACGTCCTAATTCTTTTGTTTCAGTAGAGCTGCGCGATTCCACAGACAGTGCACTCACCAGCAACCCGCAAATCTTTCATTTCCATGGAAAGCTTGATAGCCCTCGAGTAAAAAACTGTAGCGTCTTTCCGTAAATAGCAATGAGCTGAAAATAATCAATTTGTTAGAAACTGAAATTTTACCAAATGCATATTCATGAAAACCGTACCAATCTGTAATGACATCACATTACAAATCCCAATTACTGAACATTGTTCTAAGAATAAGCGAGGAAAACCATCTATATGACTTCGCCTCGGTATATCTGTTGAGGGGGTTGTATGACATCTAATCCTTTTGGTGTGCGGGAACCTGGTAGTAAGTAAGAATGCGTGAGCCAGGGGGCATGGGGCCAATTCAGGGGGGGGGGGGGTGTGAGCCACTTAACCTGTGGCAAAAGTTTGGGCCTTAGTGTCTGGTGTCTGGCCTTGTGAAGGAGACGCAGAGGAGCAAAAGGATTAGATGTCACAACACCCTGTTGAGGGCTACGCTAGTAGCGCCGGGTCACATTTTCGTGAATAAGAATCGACTTGAACCACTATGATTATAACCTCTTCATATAACTGGTAGTCGATATGACCGGCGTGCTAAGAAATCCATGCTGTCAATCCTGTTTTGCTGAGAGGATTTGGAATGAATGGCGGAAGGAGACGTTTCCTCGGACCGCACAAATTCTATGACTGGTATTTATTCATTTATGATGGCTGGCAACTTTCCGTCATGGGCACCCATTTTGCGGCAACCTTCCGTCATGAACACCCGTTTTGTGATAATTCCAGCTCAAAGAATTGTCATACCCAAGGATTTCATGACTTCATCACTACAGTACAGAATGCAGAAAATGAAGTACAAAGGAATACGAGGTGGCTATTTTCTGTTCAATCGACGAAACAACCTTTTCTTAAAAATCAGGGAATTTTTTTGCTTACAAAGACCGGAGCTTGAATCAGATTGAAAATTTGCCAACGCTAAAACGCCGTTACGTAACTTGCACTTTTCCATTCACGGCTTTCAGATCATCCTTCAATAGAGATTTCGGGCAATCTAGAAGCTGTATAATAAGTAACACTCAACATTCAAAACGAGAACTGCAGACCAAACCCACAACTGACGACGGCCTCCAAGTAAATCTGTTGTTCATAGTGATAGCTGATTTCTGGTAAATGATAGTTGTAATTAGTGACAATCGATAGAATACAACTGCAACAGGCTAATCATTTCATTGGCAGAAAACATTAACATTTTGTGAAGGCCGTCGTCACTTGTGGTGCATGGTCTGCACCCGACACTTTCTCGCTTTTTGAAGGGGAGGGTATGTATGTTGGATGCGGAAAAAATGAATTATGGCAAGATGTTCTGGGAAAACGCTAAAGACAAAAAAATGCGTTACATTTGCGAAATCAACATACCACGACTCTTGCTGTTTGGTCCCTGTTGTGCCTTGTTAAGAATATTAGCGGCTACCGCATATTGCTTCCTTTCTCACACTAATACTTTTAATCTTCCTAAAATACCGCCTTTCTCTGCATGACAGACGACCGCATGACGGGCGAGTTCTTCATCTCTGAAACCGAACGCATTTCTCGCTCAACAAAAACTACGTATAATGACACTTCTGTTCTCTGAACAACAAGATCGAGTCGAATCCTACCTTTCGCCGTAACCAAACCAGCCAGAAAGTCGCTTCAATGAATCAATTTCAAAAGCGATCACATTAACGACATCATCTGACATTCCCAGAATAGTGTAAACACATAAAGATATTTTGTGCTGCACAATCACATTTTTCTCTCTAGTGTTCTTACACATTCAACCAATAAAAGACGTAACGCGCCCGTAGAGAAACTTCCAGGCCGTAAGGTATACTCCCCGAAGGTAGGATCAGCCAGGTTAGAAGACAAAGTTCCTTTAAATTTTCTCTGTAGTCCCAACTGGGATTGTCCTGATAAAGGGCCTACATCTAATATATGTGTGTAGCTTAAAGTAAGCATGCATTGAAAATAAAGAAACAGTATCGTTCAAAACAAAAAATTTAAAGGGACTTTCGTCCCCGCAACCATTCGGGGAAGCATACCTTACGGCCCCAGTGGAAGTATCACGCTAAAGGATGGGTCGATTTGAGACGTGGAACACCTGTCAAAACTTTCGTTTTTTGCAACTTGCATGTTGTAAAGGCATGATCGAACACTGAAATAAGACTTTTTTGATCGGCCCTCTTGGAGAATACCAGAAAAAAAGAGCAGAAAATTTGTTCTCTCGCGATAACTTAGAGGTAGCGCCTAAAGGTTGACGCCAAATTTCCGACCCCGCCCAATGATGGCAATCAACCAAAAAAACTACAATCCCTAGTAATTTTTCACTGGAAACTACCGCGAACAAGGCCTCGAATTTCATCTGTCTATAAATAATGTACTCGATTGAGACATTTATAACAATCAAACAGTTTCGACTACTTCAACATTTTGTATTCAAAGCTCCTTCCACCGTGTATCATCATTCGGTTCAAGCGCCTGCCAGTGACTGTCAACATCTGAGAAGTGTGACTTATGGAAGATTAACGTGACATACAGTGAAAGATTAAGTTCAACATGAGATTTTCAAATGGTTTCTGCAGAGTTTTTTTTTTTTTCTTAATATAAGGTATTCAAGAAAAAACCTACAATAAACGTTAATGAACTACGCAGTACAGCCAATGAAAGTGCACACAACAAATAAAACGGTTACTAACATTCAGGAGTCTGCGCATTGAAGGCAGTAAAAAATCGTTTAGAGCGGCAGAAAAGTTTGCGTACCGAACAGGGCCCATTTAATGCAATAGCTTGCGCCGCATACAGTGTTAAAATTTTTGTAGAAAACCACCTTGCACTCGCTTTCACACCTACCCGGAGTAACTCACACCTGCCAAAATTGGGATTACTGTAGGAGCATGAGCTGTCGCACCTACAGCTATTACATAGATCCCGACATTGATCTCAAGGTATATGACCACAACTAGGCAGGAATGATGGGAGCGCTGCCACTCGCGAAGAAGAACAGAGTCACTAATATTCCAAAAACTTTTACTCTCGTGAAGCAACCGTGGCGGGATAGTCTAATCGTCACTATCGAAGGTAATCAAAAATCTTAATTTTTTCAAGGCTTTGAATATTTTGCCCGACACTCCCTCTGCTGCAATTAGGTAAGGGTGAGATTGACGTCATAAACACAGGTCATGATCGGTCGCACTTCGTGGCTGATGAGAACGTGGGACGTTAACGCAATTTATGGCCAAATACCTATAAAACAAGGTGTTGGTCGCTAGGACAGAAGCTCATTTTCCACTTGTCGCTGCGCGAAGCTTTTTCGTTGCAGGAATCCTAGGTCCACCCCTGATCATGGGTGGACCTGGGGTTCCCGCAGCGGAAAGTTTCACGCTGCGAAAAGCGGAAAAGTCGCGTTCTGTCCTAGCGACCCACACCCCACGCAACGCACCCGTTTTTAGTAAAGTAATTGGAAGGGGACGAAACGAATAAATTCTTGTCAAGTATCTCTTATACATAACTAACGAACATTACGAAATCAGTCCTTCCTTGTCGCTAGTCGCATCAATCCTCCTTCATTCGCACCTCCTAAACGTTGGCCGTCACTGGAAACGCTACCATGATGTTAAGGGGATATATGCTTTTGTCCCACAACGAATTGCATGGTTGGCCTAAAAATTAGAGAATAGTGGCGGTAAAGTCGTCCAAAAACTGTCCAAGAATTTTCCCTAAGTAATATAGCGACGCGCTCAAATGACAAACGCAAGAAAACTCGTCAACTGACTTTCCACCGCATTTTTTTTCTAGAAAGGTAAACTCCAATTCTTCTGAAAGACAAAGAACTCAGTTCTTTTGAAAAAAAAAACACGACAGGATCCGAACTTACTTAGGTTTTCAAAGGTGCCAGATTGAATAAAATGGAAGTCATAACATGAACGTTTCCGATATCAAATGAGAATGGTATAGCCTTCAAACAAAGCGAAAAAATAGAAGAGCAAAAAACGCACTGCATCTCCACGCTAAGAGAACTGAGCCGACTGATAGCTAGTGGTAAACTCGTTTTCTTCAAAAGGATCCTGCTGGTCCCATCAACAATCGATTTAAATTCTTGCCATAAATTGAGAAAGGTCGTCATCTGGAAATATGTATTTCAACCTGATCCACGACTTTAACAAAACAATACTAACACAACTGTGTCCAACATTTTCCTCTCCGCCATTTATGGCAGACATTGTTATACATTTCATGCAAGCGGTCGCGGATTCCTCAACTTGGCCATTACTTGGTCAAGCTAGCTCGATTTACATTAAAAAATGGATGTCACCAGACAATCCCATCGTAGCCATATCCGAGTAGGCCCGTGACTACTTGGCTGCTCACCTGAATCCGTGCAGATCACAATAATCCCCAATTTTTGCAGGTCCCAATAATTGAGTGGGATTGGGTGAAAAATCTCTTGCTTACCAGTTGAAACAATTGTAATTATAGTTTCCCATTAAATTAGTTGCGCTTTTTTTTCAACTAACAATTTCCTCTTGAATCTCCGTTTTAAACAGGCTATACATCATCGAAACAGAACTGTTCTGCTCTTACAGCGAAACTCGTTGTCTTCCACGTCATTTCAGGACTATTTTGATTTTAGACCGTGATACGTGGGAGGTCCAGAGTCGACGTGGAGGGGCCAAATAATGGCAAACCGACAGAACCTCCTAACCTATGTTCCTCTGAGAATCAGTTAATTGACCATGAGCTCAGACACAACCTCCTCCAAACATTCCGTTATTAGGCTTGCTAAGAAGTCGCGTTGTTCCTTTCCCAGACTTGTTTTTTCAACCAGAACTCGACGGTCGAGCACCGTTCCTTGACATCCAATCAAAAACTTTACACACAGCCATGAAAAAGCGTGGATGTCTATCATCGTCCTGCGCATCGCAGACGCTGATCCCTCACGACCTCAAGTCTGGCGGGGGCGGGCCAACATTGTACAAACAAGCAGTGATACTATATCGACACTTCTCTCTTTACGTTCACGGAATAAACCCGTTAGTAACTCTCTCTGCTCTCACACTCTATTCAATATCATAAAACCACTGAACCACCCGCGAGGTGCTTTATAAAGGGTTCAATAAAACCCAAGTCTCAGCGCCCACTACAGCCAGGTTGAAGGCGATTTTGCCGACTAGCTGTGCAGAGAAAACCAGTGAATAGCTAGACATGGTCCTTTGATGCTGAGAAATGATAAAAGTGCAGCTGCTATCCCATTCGTCATGGTCAGGGAACTTTTTCTGTTACAGAAGTTCTTATTAAGGATATTACCATATTGTTGCTGTCATCAACAATCTGCACACAGCGGAATCCGCGGGTTCTTGCGAAAGAAAAATTCCAAGTTGCTGCCACACCTTAGAGGGTGCTATCTACTTATGGTTCTATGTATTCGCTGAGCCTAGACGAATTTTCGGTATTTTTAGAGCAATGTTGAGAGAAATCGTTCAGAGCTGTCAGAATAAAAGCATGAATACACGCGTACTAGCATGAGCGTCGTTTTCCACTGTTCTATTAGGTTGTCGGAAGTCTTTGGCCATTTGTCGACTTTTTTCTAATTCACTTTTCTTCTTTAGCTTAGTGAGCAATTTACAAATATATGCCCCACCATAATCGCCAACATATTGCCTTTTAGCAGGTAACTCGTGGATGCCGTTTGTCTGGAAATACTGAGCTTTTGAAGCAAAAACCTTGAAGAAGTCCTCTTCGAATAGGTCCGGATCATTAAGCTCTCCCTCTTTTATTGATTTGACAGCAACGGAAGGAGATGGAGTTCTGTTAGTGCCGGGTCTGCTGAACGCAACAGGTGGGACAGAACGTCCCATAACGGGCTTGGAGACTTTTGCTGAACCTTCTTCCAAATTCGTTGACGAGCGTTGCCTGGATAAAGTAAACTTTTCCATGTTTTCAAAGCATAGTGCCGGCGAACCCATCCATTTGCCCATATTATGGTTCAACAATAGCAGTGCAGTTCTTTGGTAGGAGCTGTCAGTGAACGAATCGCTTGGAGCTTCACCAATTCTGAAAGTTACCTCCCAGGTTGCAGTGCTGGAATCGGCGCTGGAATCCTCGGATTCTACGCGTCTGGGCCACTGGCGCTTCCGACTGCAGTTTACGTGAGGAACCCACTTCTGATTACCACCAACAAAGTAGTCGGGTCAAACAAGAGACAGACGGTAAATCAAAATGTTCATGCAAAATCTGAAGGCCTCTGACGGCGGTTGTCACCCAGTCACGAAATCTCCTTTTGCCATAATTTCTCTTCTTTTTGAGGAGCTATTGAGGAATGGCTATTGTGTTCTGATAACTGTGAAAAGCTGCGTCAGTTCCCGTGCATTGCTCCGGAGACTGTTTCCAAACAGCTCCAGAAGACACTCGTCATTCAGTGGAACAGCCAACCGAATTTGTGCATTTTTCTCGAGTTCTGGACTTCGGCAACCAAATGTTTAGCCATGCTGTAGAAAGACTCTGGGGTACCATCGCAGGACGTGAAGCACTTACCGCATCGCTTCCATTGACGCCTTTTCTGGGTTTCAGAAAGAGGAGCAGCCAGATATGGTTTCAATAAAAGACGAGCTTCTCGGCTATATCGCTGTGAGAAGCCACGACAGAAATGCTGTGAAGAGATCACTGACTAGGGTTTACATAAGTTTTACAAGAAATGTTCAAGAATTACCCCTGAGGATTTTACAACATGCAGATCGAAATGGTAACCAGGGTCAAGCGAGGCGTCGAGGAAAATTTGGAAATACGACCCCCCCCCACCACCCTCCGCCGGAGGCCGAAGTCCATGAAACAACCCTCTTCAAAAGCCGAACTATGAAAAGGTTGAAAAGCTTGTTTAATTCTCCCCCAAAACTGCTCATAAAAAAGCCCTGCTACCCCACCGCCCACAAAAAAATTCGTTAAGAAGTACAAAAGTGAAAAAGTCAAAGAAATAATCATTATTGATGAGTCCTACCAAACGAGCAAACGAGAAACAGACCAGAAAACGACAAACTAGCCACTAAAAATGGCATACCCAACATCTGTTCTTTATTTATTTCCTCCACAAGACTTACCAAATTCTAGTACTACACAGATTGTGGTTCTCAATTTGCACGTAGCCCTTCAGTTGAAAGAAGCTTTTTAACCGCCTTCGCCAGCTGTGTGTTGACTGGACTTTGGCGTTGACCGTGGAGCAGCTTATTTACTATTGAAATTTGAACAAATATTCAAATGATTATAACTTTCTTCAAATATGACGAATTTTCAATCTGAAAGCAGATTTGGGAAGTTTTGTGAAGAGCTTTTTCTAATCAGTATAGAAATTACAAAAAGTTATAAGAAATAACAAATTTAGGCCAATTAACGAGGAAAATTCGAGATGAGCACGAGTTTTTACACTTTCCGAAGCAACAACTTGCTTCATTTTCGTCAAATTCGAAAAGTTAATATGGCAGACAAAACTAGAAGATTTTCTCTACCAAACCGTTGCTAAAGCAGCTCTATACGTCCAGTATTCAAAAAATGGCCACGTTGAGGATTTCTGCAAAATTAACGAGGAAAATTTGTGATGAGTGCGAGTTTTTTTACTTCCTAAAGCCATAACTCCGTTCAAACTCATCCAATCCGAAAAGTAAATACGCCATCATAAACTAGAAGATTTGCTCTATCAAATGCTTACTAGAACTGCTCCAAACGTCCAGTATTAAAAAAACGGCTACGTTGAGGATTTTGCACGAGTACCGCCGAAAGGTACTTTTTCGCTACATTGGCACTATTTCAACGGCTGTATATCCTTTTAAGGGCGATTATGTACTAAAGTAAGAGCAGATTTGAAATCACTGCTTTTCTCTTTCTAAGAAAAGTGATTGATTAGCGTTTCTCAACTTTAAAGGTTACATGTTTATAAATTTAACCCTGAAGAGTCCGTTAACGCAATGTTGAATGGTGTACACCTCCCTGTAAATGCGCACGGACACTTTCAGAATTCTCTCGATTGTTCCTGAATTGAGGTTGTTTGTCCAAGGAGCCGTAGTTGAAGCGCGCGCAACAACTAGACCCTTTCTCGGATGCGCCGTGTACCTCACATCCCTTCAGATTCGGGGTCTTACTTGAAAGATGAAATATCTCTTGGAAAGCGTGCGAAATTCAGATTCTTTAACTTGTGTGGTGATAAAACACTGAAGTAACTAAGAATTACCGGACGCCTCAGAATCACGAAAATTTTGTGTGGGTGAAATATCATTTTCATTGGAAATCCTCTGGCCTGGCATCGACTCATCCTTGATATTTGTCTTCCGACGGTGATGATCCCACTGCATCAAAATGGCTCGATCTCTTCCACCCAGCGGGCCAATACGACCCCCCCCCCTGCGACGTGTCGAGGATTCCTCAACGCACGCTTGACCCTGATGTAACAGACTTTTCCGCAGACCACCTATACATTAACTTTCTGCGAACGTACGCCTCTAGCGATCAAGGCACAATCTCTGCGAAAAAAACCTCTTCATTGGCGAACTTCTCTCTTGGCGTGACCTGCACTGTATGCTTTTCAGGCTATTTTCGAACCCCTTTCAAACTAGAGAAATTCAGGCGCTGACTCGCTCGGCGGAAAAAGGTTTTTAGTTTTCTTTGACGGAGTATTTTAGACATTAAATTTTTTGCCTAGTGATTTGGTGTAAGTAGCACTGATTTTCATTCCGTCGCAGTCCGATTTAAAATAACGAATTAATTGCCCGAAATCTGAGGTGTTCCACGTACACCCCACGTCGGTCGTATCGTTGTACTTTTTGACAAATTTTACGACCCCCTCCTAGTGGATTTGTACGACCCTCGACCACCATATTCCTCTCTATAGTATTTCATTCTGGTATCACTCACCACGAACTCCGCCCACTTTTTCCTCCAAAAATGCCGTCGAGCGGGGGGGGGTATATAGTCACTCTGAAACCATAATTCCCTAAATTTCAACCAATTTACCCCACTTATACCTATAATCCCACTGCTTCCTTTTCTAGGGGGGTATATACGCGCGCTGAAACGGCAAATTTTCTCCCGCGCCACTCCCCACTCATCTCATGCAACTTCTTACAACCGAAGCAAGTACGACCCCCCCTCTACAAACTCATCAAAATACGACCCCCCCCCGTTGCTACTTGTAGCAACATAGGGTTGACCCTGTCACCGACCCAAATAGACCGCGTGGCAGTCGAAAGAACCTAAAGACCCTATCATATTTGGTGCATAGGAGGTAAACTGTTATGAATTTATGTCGATTTCGTGTCGTCTAAAAGAAAAGTGAAACCTTTATTATTTTTAGTGATATAGAACCATGCATTCAAAATATGACCAGCGATTGCAACATGTGAGCACATGCATTCGTTCAAAGAAACAGAAAAGGCGCTATACTAATACGTGGGGAGGGATTCTTGTGCATAGCACACAGGCAAACCAAGGAGGAAGACTTCTACATAGGTATCGTAGGGAAAGGGAACGCCTGAACGTGTGAATTACTTGTCAAATACTAATCCTCTTATTGCCTTAGAAAACTTAGTCTACCACAGAGCACCTTCCCAACAGGTTTGAGCAAGAATCCTCATCCCCTCACGATTCTTTTCGCAACAACCAGCACCAAAAGTCATAGAGAAAAAGAAATTCAAAGAAATGGCACTGAAACCGAAATCAAAGCATTTGGTGACTTGGATTAGTATAGCGCCCGACAACTTGGTATAAGCTGTGAAATCTGTAAATGCTGATAGGATTACAGAAAACAAAAAAGAGATCATAGAAGTAATATTGATTATCAGCAAAATAACCAAGGACCACGTCCTCATCATTATGTGAAAATCATATTAACCTTTGAAAAAGCCGAGAATCATTATACACCCCGTCATAAAGATTAATAGGAAAGATTCAGAATGTACCAGATGTACAATAACACACGTAGCTTATACAATATAAGGACAATAAATGTAGCTTATACAACGTATTATCGGTAAAAGGACCCTCCAAAGCATGGTTATCAGATATGGACGATTCGCACAAGGTAAAGTAATGATGCCGAGTTTTAAGGATCACTGTGAACTTGATGTGAAAGTGCTAATGGTTTCAGCCCTTATTTTTCAACTCTGTTTGTAAAATCGAACAACCGGGCGCTAGATTCTATGCAGATTCAGCGTGAAACGCGCCACGTTCAAACATAAAACGGCAACGGTGCTAGCGTAGTTGAGGGGAGCCACGCGGCGGCGCGGCACTCCGCTCGTTTGGCGCATTGGCGCGGCGCTCTGCTCGTCTGGCGCCCTCTCAGCGAGTTAGTATTATTACTAAGCCCAGGAGGGAGACTCGGGAGCGGGTTTTCCGGCAGATTTTGGGCGGGTAATGGAGTTCGAATAAGGGAGTGTTGTGTAAGGGAAGTGCAAAGCAAACTTCTTATCAGAAGTCATGGATCCCGCTGATTGCGCTGCAAATTTGCTATCACTGCGAAGGAGGAGTTTGAATCTTGGCTTGCTGAACGAGGACTGCTCTGGAAGAATCCTCCATGCTCGAACTGCGGAAATCCGAGGAAGGTCACGAAGCAGCAGTTCTAGTGGCGAAGATGGGAAATGGAAGTACGAGTGCAACCTTCGCTCGTGTCGACAACCTGGAGTAGACATGAAAGTGGGTTACCTGAAGGGTTCATTTTTTGAGTCCCTCCATGCCGAAGGAAGATTTTTTGGCGAGCTAACTGTTCGCTTACGATCTTGGCACGACGAAGGAAATGGCTCGAACTCTCGAGGTGGAGGAGAGGACGATCCAGCAATGGAGTCCAGTGGTTTCGAGATGTGCTCGCCCAGTTCTACACGGACAACGTCGCACAGGTCGACGAAACCAACATCGTACGTCGTAAGTACCACGCTGGCCGTGTCGTGCGCAGAGATTGGGTCGTCGGGGGAATCCAAGACGAGACGAAGCTGTTCTTCGTCGAAATCGTCGGCAGACACAAAGCCGCTACTCTGGAACGAATTATCCAGCAGTATAATGTTCCTGGAGGAACC